TTTTTACCTACTATTTTTTCTGTATTCATTTTAGAGAGAGAGGAAAGAGAAGGAGATAGAAACGTTGATGAGAGAGAACATCAATTGGCCGCCTCCTGCATGCCCCCCACTGGGGATCTGGCCCACATCCTGGGCATGTGCCCTGACGGAAAATCGGAAAATTGAACTGGCGACCTCTTGGTCAGGGGTCGATGCTCAGGCACTGAGACACACCAGCTGGACTGACTTTTGTAATTTGAGTAGTAATTAGATACACTAGATAGATGATAGATATAGATATAGATACACACACACACACACATACACACATACTACATAGATATATACGGACACTTTTTAGTGTTTTCAGGGTTTTGCCAGAGAAAAGGCAGGCAGGAGCGCCACCTCGTGACGACATGGTGAATTGCATCCTCTGCAGTGAGCCAGCGGGACGGTGCCATCCCCTAGTGACCCGCGGTGTTTGCAAGAAGGGCGCCCTCCACCTCAGCTGCCTGCAGCTCCTGGCAAGGAGCCGGGGCTTGGAAAGAACTCTGCCATCTCCCTGAAAGGCGGGGACCTAGCAGGACAGAAGATGGGGCTTTTCTGGCGCCAGGAGGCAGGGAGAGGAGGGTGGCCCCAGGGTGCAGTGGGCTTGCTGGGAGCCCCCTCCCCCACCCCCACCCCCGGTGCAGGAACCACCCAGTCCATCCTCCTGCTCCTGGGGCACATGGGCTCAGCGCATGTCTGTTGCTTTACTCTCCGTGGCCATTCTAACTAAACCAAGGCCAGAAAGGTGCCCGCTCGTCCTAGACCCCGCCACCCACCCAGCACAGCACATTCACCACCCCTCACCCCCTCAGAGCAAGCACACACCTGTACTTGCCTGAGATGTGTCCGCAGAGGGTCGGGCTCTGCACACTGCCCAATACTGTCCCTTGGTGGCCGCGGGTCCCATTTATTCAGCCTGAGCCTGTCACCGGCTGAGAGGACTTACTCCCCAATGTCCCTCCCCTTAGACGGCTGCCGGCCTCGTGGAGAAGCCGCTGAGTGTCCGTGACGGACAACGCAGGACAGGAGTCCAGGGTGGCCCCGGGCGGGCCGAATGTTTATTTTTAAAAAAAAAAGTGACCCTGGCCAGTTTTGCTCAGTGGTTAGAGCATCGGCCCGCAGATCAAAGAGTCCGGGGTCTGATTCCAGCCAAGGGCAAATACCTCGGTTGCGGTTCGTCCCCAGTCCCTGTTGGGGTCATGAGGGTGGCAACCAATCAATGTATCTCTCTCACATGGCTGTTTCTCTCTCTCTCCTTCCCACTCTGTCTGAAGATAAATGTAAAAATATCCTCAGGTGAGGATTAAAAATAAAAATAAAAAAGTAAAAAATATGTTTTGTTTTTTAAATTAATTTTAGAGAGAAAGAGAGCAAGAGATAGAAACATGGATGAGAAACATCAACATGGATGGGCTGCCTCCTGCACGCCCTCTACCAGAGCCCACAACCTGGGCATGTGCCCTGACCGGGAACCCAACCGGGTCAATGTCAACCACTGAGCCACACCACCTGGACAAGGGCAGAATCCTTTAGAGCACAGGTGACCCCAGGGATTGTGGGACGTCTGGGAAGGCTTCCTGGAGGAGTTGAGACCTGTGAAGGAGGAGACCGAAGAGAAAGAACATTCTGGACAGGTGGAACCGAAAAGGCAAAGGCAGGAGTTGGGATTTTGTCCCCAGCGAGAACACAGAATATTGAGGTGACAATGAGAAGCGAGGTGGGAGGCAGAAGCTATCGCCCCAAACACCTTTCTGGCCTTATTCTGTGGGCTGACTGCTCTTCCTTCCAGAACTCATCCCTTGCTCCCCTTTCTTAGCCTCTTAGTGTGGTTTTGGCAGGAGGGTCTGCCAGCCCTGGTCAGTGAAAGACCCATATTTGTGGGAAGATCTGGGAGTTAGACCATCCAGGCAGAGGGGGCAGCACATGAAAATGTCCTGAGGCACAAAAAAATGTGAGCCAGACAATGTCAGTGGAGCACCTGGGTCCAGCCGTGCCTGAAGCTGGAACTTCTCAGTGATGCGAAGTAATTGCTTTGTTGCTAAGCCGGTTTGATCGGGTTTTTGTGGCTGCCCTGAAGGGGTGCTGTCCTTGGAAAGAGCTCTGACCCTGAGGAACCTGGGGCCCTAACCTCTGAAGCTGAGATTTTTGTCCTGTTAGGCAAAGGAATCACTGAAGGTTTTTAAACCAGGCCACAATCTTCCTGGCCCCACTTCTTCCTTTCTTCTGGGCTCCTCTCTCAAACGTCCCATCCTTACTTCCCCGTCCTTCAGTCTCCCCCCTCCACCTTACTGAACTTGGCCGCCTCCGGCTCCTTGCACCTGGTGTTTGTCTTTTTAGACACTCTCCCCTGCGTTTCTTCTCCCGACGAACTCAGCCTGGCATCTACTTAGATGTCACTTCTTTCATCAGCTCTCCGGGTCCACGTCCATTTCCCCTTTGCTCCTTTGCATACGATGTTTACATCACAGCTGTCCCACCCCAGACTGCAAATGTCAGGGCGCTCGGTCCCACCTGCTAGACCAGGAAGGAGCTCACGAGAGTGTCTGTCTAGTTCTTGTTCGAAACCCCCGCAGCTGGTGCCTAGTAGGCGCTCGATAAACATGCGTTAGCTAAGGGAGCGTTATAGACTGGATGTTGGTACCTGCCCCGATTCCCACGCTGAAGCCCGACTCCCACTGTGATGGTGTTTGGAGGTGGGCCTGGGAGGTAATTAGGGTTTGAGGAGCTCACGAGGGTCACCCTGATGATGGGATTCGTGTCCTTAGGAGATGAGACAGAGAGACAGCAGCTCGCTGTCTGCTGTGTGAGTGAGGGCTCAGCGAGAAGGTGGCTGTCTGCAAGGCGTGTCCTCAGCAGAAACGGAGTCTGCTGGCACCTTGATCACAGACTTCCCAGCCTCTGTGAGAAGTGGATGTTAAGCCACCCAGCCTATGGTATTTTGTTATGGCAGCCAGAGCTGAGACAGGGAGGAAGGGAGGAGGGGAGAGGGGGAAGGAGGAACCTGATATATGGAAGGTGCCAACAGGAACTGAACAAACGAACGAACGAATGAATGAGCACAGGGCTGCTGAAGTGATGTCGCCCTCGGGACGGACTAATAAATGCATTTCCCATCCAGGGCTGTCACCAAGGGGAGTGGCGTGGGCCCTGCCGGGGATTGATGCAGAGCCCCGGGGTTTGGGGGTTTGCGCTGCAAGGACCCTCACCTTGACACTGTGATGCTGCCCGGGGCTGGAGGCCTGGGTGCTTCCCCAGGGAAGGCCTGTCTGGGAAGGGAGCCCCTGAGCTGGTTATTCAGGGGAGGAGCATCGAAACTGGGTGCCCCACGCAGCAGCCCCACGCTAGAAAACACCCCAAGCTAAGTGCCCCAGTGGCAGAAAGTGGTCATGGAAAACTGTGAAGCCATGAAATATGTTAACAAAAGCCCCCAGAGAATGGAGGAGGCCCTGAAATAACATTCGGTGGGAAGGAGCCTGTGGTCCCAGCAGCGAACTGGGGGCGCATGCGCAGAGACGCGAGAAGGCGAAGCATCAGGAGTTGTCAAGTGAGCGGAGAATCTTTTCTTAGTGCCCATGAATTACTGTCTGAAGTTTTCTGCATAATTTCCAACGGTTTGAGTTGACCGTCGGCGGTGTGCAACATCCAAAGAATATTCCAGATGTTTCCACTCATGTCTCTCCAGCCAGAAAAGAAACACAGGGCTGGGGGTGACTGTCAGTGGCCTGTGGTTGGGACCTGAGCCCTGGTGGCATCACTTGGGCCCGGTGATGTCCAGATTGGTGCTCACGTACTTAAAGGCTCAGCCCAGCACAGATACCGGACCCCCTTTCTCCCCGTCTGTCCTACCTTGGACTTGAAGGGTAGTGGGGGGGGGGCTTCCCCTCACCAAATGTGTTTTCTTTTTGAGGGAAACACAATCTCTTGGGCTGGGGTGGGAAGAGTATGCAAATCAGCCTAACAGTGCCCTGCTTGTGAGTTCTTGTCTTATGCAAAACCTCCTCCTGAAATAAATTAGTCATCCCTGAGCCGCTGGGAAGCTGAGGAGGTCAAGGTGTGGGAACGGTGGGGGGCGGTATCAGGGAATGGAGCTGGGTGTCAAATGGCATGAGACGTCCCACACTGGCCATCGCTGCTTCCCCCTGGTGACCGGGGACACGCTGGAGGCCCCCATGGACGGCCCCGTGGTCCTCTCTGCAGCCACCAGATGGCGGCACACGCAGACCCTGGGGCGGGAGTGTGGAACTGAGGGTCTGGCAGACTTCACTACCACACCTGATTGTTCCTTCACACCTTCTGGGGTCAAGCCTGGGAGCATGAATTTGACTTTCCTTCTCAAAGGTGACCTCTGCAGGGACAGGGGCCCTCAGCAGCAGCCCACTAGCCAAGTGCTTTGTCCAAGAGTGCATCCTGGCTGGGGTGCCAGCTGGGGGGATGAGGGAGGGAGACAGGGGGAGGGAGAAGGGAGGGAGGGAGGGAGGGAGGGAGGGAGGGAGGGAGGGAGGAAGGAAGGAAGGAAGGGGAGAAGGAAGGGGAGAAGGAAGAAAGGAAGGGGGGAAGGAAGGGGAGAAGGAAGGAAGGAAGGGGAGAAGGAAGGAGAGAAGGAAGGGGAGAAGGAAGAAAGGAAGGGGGGAAGGAAGGAAGGAAGGGGGGAAGGAAGGGGAGAAGGAAGGAAGGAAGGGGAGAAGGAAGGAAGGAAGGAAGGAAGGAAGGGGGGAAGGAAGGATAGGGAGAAGAAAGAAAGAGGAAAACTAAATAAAGTTATAAATTCTCAATACGAAATCAGGTTTACAAGTCAATGTTTTATTTCATTTAATTTTTAAATTTAATAATTTAGCCGTCATTATCTTTTCATCCAGATGTCATTGGAACTTTCCGGAGAGACCAAGTGCAGGCGGGCGCCGAGGGTGAGCCCGAACCCAGGGCTCCGGGGACTGGACGCAGTGATAAGCAAATACAGCCTGCCGGCTCTCTATTGGCTGTCCCCTGGCCGCCAGATTTTGACAAATAATCAGATTGAAAATCAGGGAGGGGAACAGAAGAGGGAAGAAAAAAACCAGAGAGAGAGAGAGAAAAGGAGAAGTGTGCATTTGTGCCGAGAGTCACCAGGTGGCCGGAGGGAGCCGGTCCGCAGAGAGCCCGCGAGGTCCCCACTGCAGCTGTGGACAGGTGAGCACAGGGTGGGGGGCTGGGGCGCCCCTGCCTCGGCCTTTCCATTTGCATGTCTCACTTCGACTATTTGCAGGCAGGTTCCTAGTCCCTTGGCACCTCCAGGAAGCATGGGGTGGCTGCAAGGTTCTCCTATGGGATGTGGCTCTCGGCCCCTGAGCCCGGGACAGGCAGCGGCCAGGAGGCCGGCTTCTGGGCTATAGGGCTGAGGCACCACCCTTTTCAAAACTCAGTCTTAGGCTGACAGATACCCGTGCACAGTGCCTTCCCCACACTCCGAAGACCCGGGCGGGCAGAGTGGGTGTGCCCCTCGGGCACCAACTGTCCCAGTCCCCAGAGCACCGCGATGTGAGCCCTCTTTGTGTGTCAAGTGAGGCTGGGATTGAGCACAGTGAAGAGAGTTCTACCCGGCGTCCCCCCCCCCCCACTGTCCAGGCGACCTTCACCCAAGTTCCTGGGGCCCTGAGCCAGGCGCCTCCCCACGTCTCCCCCCAGCCTCCAGGAACGGCAGGGCTGTGGGTGAGGACTGGTGTCAAGACCTTTCCTGCCTTTTTGGGAGAAAGAGCCAACCTTTTCTGGGCGTCTGGGCAGAGGCACTTACTCTAAAGCAGACTTCGTTGGGGGGACGGTCCCCAGGATCGCTGGGGGCACATGCCTGCATACTTCTTTCTGGGGAAGAGTCCACAGCTTTCATGAGATCCCGGGGCTGGGGGTTCATTTGAGTCTCTGGGTGTGGGTCTGGTAGAAGCCGGCGGGCTGCCCCTGCCCTGGGCACAGCCCCTGCCCGCTGCCTGGCAGACGGTGAGGTTTCAGACTCAGTGCAGTGGTGGCTTTCTGGTCCTCAGAGCTGACACAGAGGGGCTCTTCCGCTCAGGGGACGAGCGAGGTCTCTTCCAGCTCAGGTTTGAGGGGCGGTGTGCTGGCCCCCCTGCAGACGGTCCAGGAGACCCTCAGGAAAGTCGCCTGACCACCCGCGGTGCCGCGCTGGGACACAGCCCCCCGCCCTTTTCGGGAACTGAGAAAGCCTTAGGGCTCTCAGCCTGGCTCCAGAAATTCAAGCCGGCAGGAGCTGCTCGAGTCTCCAATTCAGAAATGCTCAGGCTGTGCCAATTTCACTCATTTTTGTTTTTATTGAGATAAAATACACCCAATGCGAAACTGACCGTGTTAAGTGTACACGTCAGTGGCACTGAGTACGCTCGCGGGGAGGCGCTCCGGGTGCCACCATCCATTTACAGAACTTTCTCATCTTGCAAGACAGAAACCTTGTCTTCATTAAACAATAACTCCCGCTTCCCCTCCCCCAGCCCCTGGCACCCACCATTCTACTTTCTGTCTCTATGAATTTGCCTACTGTAGATACTGCGTGTAAGTACAGCCACGTGGTATTTGTCGTTTGGCGACGGGCTTGTTTCACTCAGCACCCTGTCCTCCAGTTTCATCCACGTTGTAGCAGGTGTCAGGATTTCTTTCCTTTTGAAGGCTGAATAATATTCCACTGTGTGCGTACATCGCATGTATTCATCATCCATTGATGGACACTTGGTCGCTTCCCCTTTTTGGTGCTATGAACACGGCTGCTGTGAATTGGGGTGTACCAGTATCTGTCCACGTCCCTGCTTTCAATTCTTTGGGGGATACACCCAGATACGGACTCACTCTGAACTTGCATTCTCTGAACTTATGAGGAAACATTTGGGAATGTCTTCCACATTTCAAAGAAAAAGAATGACCACTGTCTGATCTGACCCCTAACATGACCTGAGCTCACTTCCTCCTACCCCTTCATGGAAAGGACTTTTGTTTGTTTGTTTTGTGTTTCCCCTGAAGTCTTTAAACATAAAGGAAGTCCAAAGGGTCCTCTGCAGCAGACTCAGAAGCAGCGGAGTCTTACCCAACCCTCCCAAAAGGGGAACCCAGGGGATGAGTTTCTCGGTCAAGGTGGGCCAGTCCCCCACTGACGCTCAACGAACTGTGCATGGGATTTTAGAGCAAAAGGGAAGTGTAGAAATCGTAGTCCAACCGTCCCTGTGAGAGATAGGAAAACCAAGCCCCAGGTTGGCGGTGATGTGGTCAAGCTCAAGGTCGCACAATCAGACTGGACCCCACGGGACGCCCGGGGCACCTGGTATTCGCAAATCACAGACCTGCTGCTCCAGCTCCACCTGGAAGTCGGGGTGCAGGGTCACCCCGCCCCACAGAAGTGTCGGTCAAGATTCTGATTCAGGGCCGGGGGATCCCTCTATCAGGATTGGGGCTTTTTGAAGAGATGTTAACAGTGCATCTCTTTCCGGAGCCCGATACCATCAAGGTCTCTGTCCCATGAAGACATCTTCAGCTTCTTTCACAATCTCTGCTCTGAGCTTCTACTCAGAACAAGTTCCTGTGAATCACAACGGTGTAGTTGTTAATTAACTACCATATAGGTGATTAGTTCCTGTTTTTTTTTTAATTTATTTATTTTAACTCGGCTAACAGGGGCCAAAAGGAAGTTCTCTGGGTGCAGTGGGCCCCTCGGTGAGAGAGGCTTATTGCTTTGCCGTCCTGGGTCTCCATGGGTTCTGAGCCTGGGGGAAGCCCGAAGTTTCCCAAAGGAAGCCTGGTCTCCCACCCACCTCTCACCAAAACTCTTTAGGGGCCCGCGTGGGGCCGTATGGGTTCTGGAAAAGATGCAAAGATCAGGGGGATTTGACTGTTCGCCCCTCTGGCTCCCAGCGCCCAGCCTCGCCCTGCTTCTCGGGCTGGCTGTCCGCAGGAGGTGCGGGGCGGGCCAGAGGTCCAGTCCGAGCAAGACAGGCGCGATGCGACTCCGGGGGGCCACTTTCCTCAGTTTACCCCGCGACAATCACGGCTGCCCCTGCCCTGAGGGGTCGGACTTGATGACATAATGCACCCCAGGGAGCTCGAAACACTCCCCGGTTTCCTCCTCGCCTCTCTGCTCGGTGTCCACCCGAAGTCTGGCGATCAAGGGCATGGAGGCCTGGGATGGGTGGCCGGGTCCTCGCCTCGCTCTGCCCTGGGGTCGCAAGCCGGCCCCTCAGCCGTGGCTTCTCTACAAAATGGGGTGACAGAGACTTGGCTCTCAGGTCAGGGTTAACAGACCCGAAACTAAGCCAGTCACCTGCCTTTGGGTCTAGTTGATTCACTGATAAAATACTATGTTAACAAAAGAGATAGCCCATGGCCTTGGGAGGCTCCCCCGGAACAAAGGATGTGGGGAACCCAGCTTACCAGCCCTCCCTCGGGACCTAGGGGTCTTCTCTGGAACTGCCCAGCGAAGCCAGAGCTAGACGGGAGAAGGAAGGGGGCTGCGGGGAGCCCTCGAGGGGTGGAGGGACGGAGCAGGAAGACAGTCCCTGGGAGATAAAGCCACCGCTGCCCACAGCCCGGGGAGGGTAGGCCGGGCGAGCCTGGGAGGTCCAACTGAGAGCTGGACGGGACCCCAGCCGCCTTCAAGCCCCACCCCCTTATTTCAGAGCCCGGAGGGGTAGGGCCTGGAGTATGGCCTTGCTCCTGGTCCAGAGCGTCCCACCCTCGGGGTGTCTTGCTATGGGCCAGGCTGGGGATGCGATGACACAGGACAGGACGCAGCGGTGCCTGCCCCCTGACGCTTCTCTTCCCGTGGGCTGAGATGCCACCATGCTCAGCACTCCCCACAGCCCAGGAACCACGCCAGGCATGCCACACGCTTGTCCGTGATACACGGAGATGCTCTCTGGCCCCAGGAATCCCAGGCAGCTGGGCTGTGATCCCCATTTAGCAGATCTGGACAGTGAGGCCGACGGCAAGGAGAGCCAGGCCTGGCTGGCCCTGGGGCAGGGTGGCCACAGCCCAAACTCCTGAGGCCCCTGCGGCCCCTGGGCACGGTTGGGGGTCCCTCTTCTGCTTGGCTCTGGTCGTGGCCTTGGTGACTCCCGGGGTTTGTGCTGAAGGCAGAGCCCCTAGCTGCCCTGTCTAATCTCCCTCCTGCAGTGTGCTGCTGCCGGGGCCTTATCACCAGGCCCTCGCTGTCGCTCAGAGCTGCCGTAATCCCTTTCCCGCGCTTGGCCCTATCGCCCCTGCGGCCCCAGGGAGGGGGCACTTCTCCCAGACCTGGATGCCCCAGCTGGCAGAAAAGGGAATAGGCCCAGAGAGGTTAGGTGTCTGCCCCAAACTGCACAGCGGGTGAGCTGGGATTCTAACCCATGAGCATCTGGCTCCACAACCTGAGCTGAGCCCACCCTTTCTGTGGCTGCTGAAGGCCCATCCAGCAAGGATTTGAATGCAGCTTTCTGGGTGTGGGTCCCCAGGGTGTCACGCACAGAGACCCCGACCTCCCTTCTTTGCTCCCGGTGCCTCTCAGGGCACACGTGTGGCAGCAGGCTGGGCCTGGGGTTTTCTAGAGGTTGGTGTGTTCTTTCTAGCAGGGAGTAGTGGGGAGTTTGGATTGATACCAAGTGCTACCAACCCTAACCCTAAAACAACAGAAATGTGTTCTCTCAGGGTTCTGACGTCTACAAAACCAAAGTCAAGACGTCGGCAAGGCCGGTCCTTCTGCAGGCTCTGCAGGAGTGTTTCGTACCTCTCTGCTACATGCTGGTGGCCATCGGTCCTCCCGGGCGTTGCTCGGCTTGTAGGGTGTCGCTCCAGCCTCCACCCCCACCTCCACGTGGCACCCCCGTACCTCTGGCCCATGTGCCTACATCTCCCTCTTCCCATAAGGACACTAGTCATTGGATTTTGGGTCCACCCTAACCCAGTCTGACCTCTAACCTGACCACAACTGCAAAGACCCTATTTCTAAGTAAGGTCACATTCACAGGTTTGGGGTGGACACAAACTTTTGGGGGACACTACTGAACCCAGGACAGTGGGTTCTGACTTAAGGAGGAGGCTCTAAGATAGAGAGGAGCGTGGTCCTCCTAAGCGTCCTCACCCTCTGCCCTTGCAGGTGCGGGGCGCACGCGGACAATGCCACGCTCCTTCCTGGTGAAGAGCAAGAAGGCTCACACGTACCACCAGCCCCGCGACCAGGATGAACCGGTCTGGCCTCCTGTCCTGAGCCCGGGTGAGTGAGGGCACAGGCTGGGCCCCGCTGCACCCCACACGCCCGCCCCGCAGGACGGGCTGCAGCAGCTCATCACCCTGCAGGTCTGGGAGCAGGGGAGCTACGTCCATGCTGGCTGAATGAATGAATGAATGAATGAACCCACCTTTCTGTGTCCCTGGGGCGATGAGAGCCAGGAGAGCAGCTGGTCCTCTGTAGCTGCAGATGATGACATGAGGGTCCTAAACGGGATCCAATCTAGGGCTCAGGTCGGTGCTCAGAAGAACCGACACTGGTCCAGGAGTTCTCTGGGGGGTCTCCTCCTGGCCTCCGGCTGGCCCTCCCAGCCGGGCAGCCAGAGGCAGCAGCGAGCTGGTCTCCCTGGGTCCGCCTCCTCCTGGGGAGGGCGTCCCCCGCCTGGATCCAGTAGCCAGTGGCACTGATGGCCCTGTCTCCCCACAGTGGCCAGCGAGCAGGTCCCGAGCAACCACTCTGCTCTCAGCACCACGTTCCCGAACCAGCACCTGGACTGGACTGACCTCAAACAAAAGCCGGCGCTGGAGCTGGACCAGAGCTTGACCAGGATGGTCTCGGCACCAGGTACCTGGCCCAAGACCCCAACCATTCTCCAGTGAGTTGAGGGGGATGGAGGGGCTCCTGGACGCAGGAACCCCTGGAGTCATGGTCAGGGAGGACCAACAGGTCACGTGGATGCTGGGCTCTCGGGCTTCTGCTTGGACCCCTCCTGGACAGGACCTCGTTTCCAGATGAACACTTCAGTGTGGGGGCCAAAGGGAGCAGCTGGGCAGGCTGATGAAGCCCAGGGTGGGGTGCTTAGGACTTACACACTGACCCCCCCAGCACATGGTAGTGATGGGCGCCCTATGTTTAAGTCACCACCAGGCATATGTCCTCCTCTCCACAGAGAGCCCTGTTGTGATGTCCCAGCCACAAGACAGGGACTCACCACCCTCCGACTCACCCCCGTTCTACAAGCCCAGCTTCTCCTGGGACGCCCTGGCCTCGTCCTACAGCCACAGCTATCGGCAGGCCCCCTCCACCATGCAGTCTGCCTTCCTGGAACGCTCCGTCAGCCTGTACGGCAGCCCTCTGGTGCCCAGCGCCGAGCCGCCCCTGGACTTCAGCCTCCACTACTCCCCGGGCATGGATGTGTACCACTGTGTCAAGTGCAACAAGGTGAGCGGAGGCCGGCAGGCACACCCCCACCCTCCACCCCTGCGCGCTGGAGACTGGCTGTCCAGGGCTGGGCGTTTCCTGTGCGCCTCGGGTCCCCAGGTGGGATCGAGGGTTCACAGCTTTGTCCTCCTCACCATTCCTTGAGCCCTGACCATGTGCCCAGCCCTGTGCTGAGCACTTGACACCCATGAGCCCCAGGAGGCAGATGAGCTGAGGTTCAGAAAAGTTGAGTCGCTTGCCCAAGGGCACACAGCAAGTAGATAGCAGAGCCAGGTTCTCCAACTTTGGTTCTTAACCACTAGGCTGGCTATTCAGCCTCCAGAGAGGGCTAGGAGAGGCCTTCCAGCTGTCCCCCAGCCCCCATCTTACTGACAGGAGACCCAGACAGAGAGAGAAAGGGACCTGGCAGGACAGATAGCACAGGCCAGCAGAACCAGCAATCCGGCGCATCTTCCCCAGTAAAGGCCGCAGCTGGAACTGGGCACCGGGGTGGGGGTGGGGGAGGTGCCTTGGGACCCAGGCCGGGCTCCCTCTCTGCAGCCCCGCAAGCCCCGTGGCCTCACACTCTGCCCCTGCCCCCAGGTCTTCTCCACCCCACATGGGCTTGAGGTGCACGCCCGTCGCTCCCACAGCGGGACCCGGCCCTTCGCCTGTGACGTCTGCGGCAAAACCTTCGGCCACGCTGTGAGCCTGGCGCAGCACACGCACGTCCACTCCCAGGTGGGCGGGGCGAGCACAGGCCCCACCCCCTCCGGCTCCGTGCCACGCCCAGCAAGCCCGGGGCTATGGCTGGTCTCTCTCCCTGCCCCCCCGAGGGTGACCCAGATGGGGGTCCCTCACTACCTGCCCCGTAGAGTGGGCTGCGTCTCCAGTGCCCACTCTTAGCACCCTTCGCTCCCCGATGGACAACAGAAGAGGCCTGGGCAGGCTGGCAGCGCCGTGTCCGAGGCTCAGGAATGATCCTGCCCCTGGGGTCAGGACAGGTGTCCTCACCTTCCAGGCGCTCGGCTCACAGTGAAGCCAGGCTCGATGTTCGTCTCACCCACGTAGCCCTGCCCGAGGCAGGAGCCCCTTAGTGTCCCGCGCAGGGAGAGCACCTGCTCCTGCCGAGTCACGAACACCTGGGTCAGTGGGGACGCGCAGGTGGGAGAAGCCGGAAATGTCGCGAGAGCTGGCCTTCGGGCGGGCCGGTTCTCCACCTCCCACCCGCCCGGAGACCCGCTGGGGTCATTACGCTCACTGCCCCAGTGTACAGATGGGGAAACCGAGTCTCCGGGAGGTTAACCGCCTTGCCACGGTCGCGTGACCAGTGAGCTACAGAAGCAGGTTCAATATTCAGACTTAACCGAACCATTCCCGCCCCGAGGAACTCGGGTGAGGGGACATGACATGTAACCCCCGAAGCCCCCGGGTCAGTCGGTCCGGCAGTCAGTCCGCAGATGTGTATTCTGTTTGGGACCTTGTGAGAGATACAAGGGAAAATCCCACGGGAGGGCCCTCCTGGGAGGCAGCTGCTCCCCCAGACCCCGTCCTCCAGGCCACCCCCACATTGTCCTGTTCCTCGGGGGATTCCGGCCAGCCCCGCCTGCGCCTGACCCCCGGGGCCTCGTTTTCTCCCGCAGGAGCGCAGCTTCGAGTGCCAGATGTGTGGCAAAGCCTTCAAGCGCTCGTCCACCCTGTCCACCCACCTGCTCATCCACTCGGACACGCGGCCCTACCCCTGCCAGTTCTGCGGCAAGCGCTTCCACCAGAAGTCCGACATGAAGAAGCACACCTACATCCACACGGGTGAGGCCCCAGCCCAGCGCCCCACCTGCCATGCCCCAGCCCAGCGCCCCTCCCGCCATGCCCAGCCCAGCCCTCCCAGAGACAGAGCCCCTGGCTAACCCACCTGTCACTGTTAGAAGGTCCCAGCTTTAAGACAGTGGGATGACGTTACATGAGGGACACCCCCTCCCACAGGGGGGCTGGGTGCACCTACATCCACTTAATGCCTAGAGAAAGGAAACAGCACAAGGCAGGGTGTTGGTCTCCGTGTAGACGTGAGACTAGCAAGTGAATTTTTCATTCATTCGTTCATTCATTCTCTCCTCCACTAATTCATGTATTCATTCATTCACGTCATTCATCCCGCCATTGAGTCTTCATTCCTCCATCGGTCCGTTCATTCATTCCTTCTTCCACTCATTCATTCCTCGACTATTGACCGAGTAGCTCTTTGTGCCAGGCACGGCCAGGAGCTGTGCAAGATTGATAAACCAGGTGGACCCCGTCCTTGCCCTAACCCGGGTACAATCCAGTGGGAGGGGCTGTCAAAGTGAAAGTGGGCTGCTGCAGGGCGTCGAGGCAGCAGGCCTGGCACAGGTGGCCCTGACCCTGTCCTTGTCGCCCCTCAGGTGAGAAGCCACACAAGTGCCAGGTGTGCGGGAAGGCCTTCAGCCAGAGCTCCAACCTCATCACCCACAGCCGGAAGCACACGGGCTTTAAGCCCTTCAGCTGTGAGCTCTGCGCCAAGGGCTTCCAGCGCAAGGTGGACCTGCGGCGGCACCGCGAGAGCCAGCACAGCCTCAAGTGAGGCTGTGCCCAGCCCCGGCCCCTGGCCAGCCTGTCCTGAGGGCCTGGCACCTGGAGGGAGGCCAGCCTCACGCACCCAGACACCCAGTCTCCTGGAAGCGACACTGGATGGGAGTCGTCCAGCTTGTTTTGAGACTCACGAAATTGCTGTGTGACTTTGGGCAAATCACTTTCCCTCTCTGAACCAATAGTTCTCCTGCTGTAAAGTGTGGGAGCTGGGTTGGGTCTTTTCTGAGCTGAAGGTATAAAAACTTGGGTGCCTTCCCCAGGGCAGAGCCCAGAAGGCCAGAGAAGCCCCATGGATGCCACAAAAAGACCAGAGCTGGAACCCACAGAGAAGTTCTCCTCGTGCCTCTGCCCACCATGCTGGAATCTGGTCCCCTTGGTTTTCAGGGGGCCTCTCTCAGGCTGTCGGGTGGACAGAGCTGCCTCCTGCCCCCGTGGGATGCCTAGCACCCCTCTGCTTCAGCCAGACCTGCAGGCTACCCCTCACTCTGACCGGCACGCAGCTGGGGTCCAGGTCTGCTGTCAGACCACGGGACCAGAGAAACGGCAGTTACTGCTGTCAAAAGCCTATTCTCCTCAACTGCTATAAATGGAAATAAAGACACAGATTTGTTTACATTCGACTGGCATTTATTCAGTGCCTACTGTGTGCAGGCTGGTGGGGGAGGCTTTAGGGAGGGGTGGTGGGAAACACCGAAGCGCAGAAATAGCTGTGCCGTTGCCCTCAGACAGGGTGGCAGACCAGTGCCCAGACCAGACGGGTGAGGGCCGCAGCGGAAGCACAGGCCACAGGGCGGGCAAGGCCAACACGCTGGGGCTGTCAGTTTCCTGTGACTGCTGTCACAAATCACCACCAACTCAGTGGCTTCGAACACCAGTTCATCCTCTTCCAGTCTGGGAGACGCATGAGCCTGGGGGCTAGACTCGAGGTGTGGGGGGCACTCCCTCTGGCGCCAGGGACAGTGTTTCCCTCCGATTTTCAGCGGCCACCGCATCCTCGGCCACAGCCTGTCCTCCACCCCAAGCGCATCAAACTGTCCTCTGCTTCCCCTCCTGTCTGTCCACCTTCTCCTTGTGCCTTCCTGCCTCCCTCTCGTACGGACCCCTGCGCTCGCCTGGGTCCTCCTGGCCAATCCAGGGCAAGCTGCCCACGAAAGTCCTCATGTCATCGCTGTGGTAGGCTGAGTAGTGGCCCCCAGAGATGCCACCCACGTCCTGGCCCCAGAACCTGGGCACGTCAGCTACGGGGCAGAAGACGCTTTGCAGACACGCGCGAGGCCTGGCGCTGCCCGTCGCCAGCTGCTCACTTCTGCTCCAGCGCCTCCTCTGTAAAGTGGGGAGCATGGCAGTCCACTGCTGGGGTCTGGGGAGGACTCCCCGAGACCGGGGTGCGCGGCAGTGAGCAAGGCCCAGCACAAGGCCCCTCAAGGGCTGCCTCCTCCCACAGTCCTTGCCCGAAGCTGTCCCCTCTGGCTCCTCACTGTCAGCTCAGGCCCCCGAACGTGGACGGGCAGTTAGTTACCTGTGGGTAACTCCCCTTTGCTGGGAGGCATTTCTCTGGGCTCTGGCTCTCAGCACCAAGCCCAGGCCAGGCCACCACAATGGACACCTCCGAATGAGTCCCTTCTGGCACTGAGCTGAGCCCCAGAGAGGTGGGCCAGCTTGTCCAGGGTCGCACAGCGGGAGTGCGGGGCTGGGATGGGATATATCTGATTCCAAGTCTCCCACTTCAGGTCTGCATTTGCCTTTCCTCCCGGTGAGCCCTCGGGTGTTGCCTCTGCTGATTATTTGGGCTCCAAGGCCTCTGGGGGCTGGGGACTCCCAGGCTCTGGGTTTGGCTGGGCAGGACCCCTGGCATATTTCGTTCCAGAGGTTCTTCCTATTTACCTTGGCCAGAATTCCCCTGAACAAACCTGTCTGGAGGGAGAAGGGTGGGGTGGGGGTGGGGTTTGGGATTTGCATGGGGAGGTGGGCTGGCCTCCTCAGCAGGTTCCCAGTTCCTGTCCCGGAGGCCTGGCTCTGAAGGCAGAGGAACTGGGTCTCCAGCAGCGGGGCCGGCACAGCCTTGAGACCACCCACTCCTCCCTCCCTGTCCGGAGATGGTGAAGCCCAGACAGGGGCAGGGACTTATCCAAAGTCACACAGTGGGGTCAGGCCTGGGATGAGCTCCTGACCTGTCCCCTGCACCCCACCCCCAGGTGAGGGGCCTTGCCCTGCCCCTTCTAGGTCTGGGGAATTGCGAGAGTGGGAGAGTGGGTGCTGGATGGACACACACGTACACACACGCACACACACACACGCCCAGGAGCTACTTTGCATGTTCCTTGTTTGCTAAACAAAACCTCAGCAATATCAGGATTTCAGCCACTTCTGCGGCAGGGCGGGCCACAAGCTAAACAATGTGTCTTTCTTTCTCTGCTGGGGTTCAGGGTGACCGGGATTTAGCGTGTGGGCCCCTCCACTGAGTGCCCGAATGGTGGGGGGACACTGCAGCCTCAGAGCAGTGGGAGCTGGACCCCATTTGCACCCTGCAGAGAAAGAGGGCCGATGTGTGGCAGGTATGGGGGCTCCGTGAAATCTGCTTCTCCCTCTCTTCTCCTCCCCCCCAAAATAGAAGGCAGTCGCTGGGGCTCGGGGCTGCTCAGAGTGCACCCTGCTCCTTCCCCACGACCCTCCCCTCCCCAGAAGGATGCCCCTGGAGGAGATTTTCAGACGGGCGGGCAGCTCCAGCCCACAGGCCAGCGGCAGTTTTCAGACAGTGGGAGCAGAGCCCCCTGTTACATTCTGTCCCTTTCTCAGGATCAGGGGCCTGCTCATCACACTCAGGTTGGTGGCCCGACTCAGTAGGTGTGGTGGGGTGCCACCCACTGTGTGATTGGAGGGTGTCCACCCACCCTATTCTCTGCTTCTCATTCCACCCCCAGCTCCCGCCATGTAGAATCCCCACCACCTGAGTCACAGTGAGCGGGGAGGTGGTGTCCAGCCCCGTGAAGGGGACATGGCTTTCCCTTGCCACACCAGGGCACTGAGGCCCAGAGAGGGGAAGCGGTGGCCTCCGTCACACCACCAGTTACTGCCAACGTACCACAGAACCCAGCTTTTCTGACCCCCAGTCTAGTGGCCTTCCCACCAGGCTACAGGGATGACTGCATGACGCCAGGGACTCTGTTTGTATAGAACAGGGTGTGGTTGGTGGTCCCCGATGTTGTACCGTGAGATGGGGCGTCCGGCCCACTTCTCAGACTGCGCCCCCACCCCCTCCTCGCTGAGGTGTGGCTGGGGCCATGTGAGACCAGGATGGGCTGGTGACTCAACCTAGAGTATCAACTTACTCAACAGTAAATAACAAAACCAGTGTTTTACTATGAAAACAAACTGGCCACATTGGGAAACAGAATGCAACATCTGAATTAATATTTGGATAAAATGTCCTATCAGTGGTGGCAGCCTCAGGCTACATCCCCAGCCCCTGCACTCTGTACCTTCCTGCTTGGAGGTCATGGGACCTCTGAGAACAGGTCACACCCCAGCAGGGCAGCCAGCCCCACCAGCCCTGGGACCAGGGCTCCCCAAGGGACAAACTGGGAGATGCCCAGAGGAGGTCTCCATGGAAGTCGCTGATGAGGATGGAAACGTGTCCCCAGGGGCAGCCTGGACATGGGCGTGTGGCTGAGTTGGCAGCAGCCTGTCCCCCTCTGCCACTGTCCAGGGTGGAGAGTCTGGCCTAGAAGTAATGGATGGACCAGGCGAAGGAAAGAGGCAGGGCCTGGGCGCTAGGACAGAGGGGCGGGCGGAAGGGTCAGGGTTCTGGGTTACCTAGAATAGGTCCTAGTCTGAAAGCTCCCTAGAGACCAAACATCTGGAGACTAAAGATTCAAGCCCCCGTGCCTGGCCTTGGCCTGACCTTCACTGCCTAGACCGGCTCCCACCCAGTGTGGGCGCAGGCTCCTCCAGAGAGGGGCAGGACGGATAGCGGTGTTGGTGGTGGCAGGGATAGAACAGGCACGCCCAGAGAGGGACGAAGAACCTGTTCGGCTTGGCCGGTTTGGCTCAGCGGTGAGAGCACCATCCCTCAGACCAGAGAGTCACGGGTTCGATTCTGGTCTAGGATGTGTATCTTGGTTGTGGTTCGATCCCCGGCCCTGGTTGGGGTCGTGCGGGAGGCAACCCATAGGTGTGTCTCTCTCACATCGATGGCTCTCTCTCTCTCTCCCTCCCACTCTATCTGAACATCAGTGGAAAAATTTCCTTGGGTGAGGATTGAAAAAGAATCTGTTCTGGCTGGAGGCTCTGAGGCTGGAATGACCACACGCAGAGGGGCAGGGCGTGGTGGGGGCGGGGAAGCAGGAGCCACTCGAGACCCAGGAGAGTCTCCTAATGTCACCAGAGCCACTGCCTGCTTGCAGATCAGGGAAGGGGCCCCGAGACCTCAGGCTGAGCCATCCATGGGGTGCGCCCTGTGGCCTGGGGACTGCGGCGGGGACACCGGGGCTGGGGGCCAGTTCAGAGTCCGTGTCAGGTGTGACCTCGGTGCCTGGTGCCGCCCGCTCCTCTCAGCTCCCTGCTGAGGCTGGCTGGGGGGGGGGAGCACCCCTGTGGAGGGGAGGACGCAGAAGAACATCAAGGCAGAACTGTCCGCTTCCCTGGGACCTGGACAGCAGCAAAGTCTTTCCCGTTATTCCCCCAAAAGGCCTTTAGGGAATTCTCGATGCCATTTCTCACCCTCATGCCTTTGCACCCCGACTCCTTCCACCTAAAATGCCCTCTTTCCTCCCCTGAACCCTGGAAACCCAGCTCAAGCACATGCATTTCCCACACGTGCTCACCCCATCCCCCCACCCCGCTCCTAGGAAACAATCACTGCCCTGGCCGGTTTGGCTCGGAGGTTAGAGCATCAGCCCGAGACCAGAGAGTCCCGGGTTCGGTTCCCGCTAGGGGCACGTACCTCGGTTGCAGTTTGTCCCCGGCCCCAGTTGGGGTCCTGTGGGTGGCAACCAGTCGATGTGTCTCTCTCACATCGATGTTTCTCTCTTTCTCTTCCCCCCTCTCTCCCTCCTGCTCTGTCTGAAGATAAATGCAAAAATGTCCTCGGGTGAGGATAAAAAAACACAAAAGAAACAGTCACGGGTGGGCACACAGATCAGCTCCAGGACTGTCTCCTGAAGCCCACGGGAATGAGAAAACAACTGGAACCATCCTAAACGCTCACGAGAGGAGATGGCTGCGTGACCAAGGCTGTGTCTGGACAGCGGCCCCGCAGCCAGGGGAGGGGCAGGCCGACTCTCCCAGGACTGAGCCGGAGGCGGCCTGGCGCTGCGTGGAGAGAAAGATGCTGCTTCGCGATGCTGTGCGGCCCCGAGAAACAGCACGCTCGCCGGCGCGGGGAGAGACCGACCCACCCAACCACTGAAAGTGCTGTTTCTGGGGCCAGGAAGGAGGGCTGCGTCTACTCTCAATGCTGTCTGCAAGGGACTTCTGTCTGCGAGAGACGTGTGTGTGTGTGTGTATTTTTTACTAAAAAAAAATGGAAGAGAAAATAGATTTTGCAGAGTAAATGTGTCAACATAGGAAGCTGTTCGTGATATCGTAGTGAAAGTGGTTTAAAAATCAGTAAGCGCCATATGATTCCATTTGGTTAGTTGCACACACGTG